ACATACAGATGTAAGAATGTTAATTATTGTAATTTTATATCATTTTTATGTTTTAGTTTTGTAAGTATATGATGGAGTCTATTGTTGCTAAGGGTACACCAGTGAGAGAATTTAAGAAACAAATTATTGAAGAAGCAAAAGTACAAGGAATTGACTGCGTCCTTGAATTAGACAAGTAAGTACATCATGTGACTGTCATGTGACTCATTGTGTAGAATGAGATTACGTGACAAGATAGGAGTGTACCCTGGTACAGTATATCTTGATCATCAAGTGATTGATGCTGGTAAGAAAATGTATGTGGAACCATTAAAAGGTCAGTATATCTCAGTATATTTTAGTATATTGTACTGTACTTGATGCATAGAGTATTACCGTATCCAATTAATTTTTGCGGTAGAAAAATTTCGCAAATCTTGCATATTTAAGATTTTGTAGAATTAATTTTCATGAATGACTTGCAGTCTGCACCACGTGGCAATGGAACACAGAATTTTGTGTTGGAAAAATTTTGTGATGGAGCAAAAAACCGTGAAATTTGCGAAAATATTTCACCACGAAAATAAACCATTATACGGTATTTCATTATAGGACTAGAGAAGAAGCATAAGGCACAGAGACAGGTGTATGTTATAAGATGGCGTCCATCACAATGTTCAGTTGATCCAATAGAAGAAATTATACTGGATAATTATAATGGTGACCCTAAGGATGTTATTGGAAAGGTATAACTACTTGTAATATGGAACATGTATCAGTATCACATATCATTATTATTCCTTTACAGCTGTCAGAGTTAAGTGGAGTTTCTGTTGAGTATATATCTTATACAGAGGTTAATCATTAAAACACATTAAAGATACTCTATCTCTCTTTGACTCTATTAGGGTAAACAATTTCCAGTTGAGATATCATGTCTTGATATTGATAATGAGTTGATATGGTATCGTATAGCTGGTAATTTTGGAAGGGGGAAATTTTGGTGAATTTGGCATTTTGATGGCCATTTGCCAAAATTAAACCCACCATTTTATACCATTATGCACATGCTCAATGGCTCATAACCACGAATTTGCCAAATTAAAACCCACCAATCATCAAAAATTTAGCAATTCACCAAAATTTTACCCCTCCAAAATTACCAGCTATACTGTATTCCATCATTTCAGGTGGATACTCATTACGACTATATGATGGACGTGTCATATATTACAAGTACTAATGAACACACACACACATTATCTATACACACACACTGACATACACGATGATACACCTCTTACTGTTTATAATTATTTAGAGACAAAAGAGAGACAAAGAAAGAGTTAACAGATAAAGAGAGATCAGAAATACAAGAGGCAGAGACTGCAAGGTCAGTAAACCTTTATGTTTTATCATGTACATGTACATGTCATGTACACGTACGGATTAATTAAATACATCACTTATACTATTTATTATACTGTAGGTTGGAGAAGATTAAGGAATGCAAATCAAAGCATGGCTTATAGTTTTGACTGAAAGCTAGGGATTGGGATTGGTTTGATTTTTAATTTAATTTATAATAAAAGGGATCTATCTCTATGTTTTACTTACCTTCAGGTGGTATTTTGGTGTCATCATCAAAAATTTGTAGGAAAAACTACAATAATATTTGCTAATATTCACTAATACAGTATTATAGATACTAGAATGCAGCTATTATTTGCAAAAATTATAATTTTGTTTTAATTGTATAGAAATCACTTAAGGATTACGTATATATCTATGTACCCATGTTTAATTGATAGTTTACTGTATCAGGAGGTAATGATTTAGAAGTTTCAGCGCCATTATATTAGAAGCAACAGTTTTAACTACAGCCTGGACAAAATCACTGATATCAGCTGTAGACTTACTACAGCTGATATCAGTGATTGTGTCCAGCTGCTGTGCTGCTATTCTTAGCACTCTGTGTCGCTTCTGGTGTCTTGGATCCTTCAGCCAGACTCATTGACATATTGACTTCTGTGTGGGCTTGCTGCTAGCAGTATCCATCTTTACTGTCTTTACTTGAGCATATACTGGACTGATGAGTGGCTCCAAACGATAGGCCTGGATTAAAATTGAAGAGAATAAAAATATCAAATTTTATTTCAACATCAAATACAAGCAACAAGTACATGCACAATGTACATGTATACTGTGTACTCTATATACACCATGTACATGTAATTGATACTAAACTCACAGGGTCTGAACTCTGAAGGATGATGTACATAATGAATTCATTTCATTTACTTATAGCAGAAGGTAGCATAGTGAGTCTGCTCCTTTGCTTCCCTTTACTAGTGGGCTGTGCTCCCTTAGCATTAAGAATATACCTGATGGAGACCCAACAGCAAATAAGTGATTCACTTTAAGCTTGAGAGGATTGAAACCTTTCTTTATCCCTAGCTCTGATTCAAATTTGGCAACTCTTATTCTTAACTTCTGTAGCTCTTCAAACTGAAAAGAACAGCTGGTATTTTTTTAACTCTCCAGACTCAATTATGCATGTAATATAACTCTCCCCTTTCCTAATTATATGCCCTTTTCTTCACTTTCTCTTCCTCTCCTACCTGTTCAAGCAATGTCCATTGGTGTACAATCTCTTTCTCTTTTCTCCAGTAGTCCACTCCATTGATATGACAAGTCTCATACATCTGGTCATAGCACATTACACTACCATGCAAATGAGCAAACATTATACTGTCCAAGTTATTTGAAATAAAATCAAAATTACGTTGTATAAATTCATCATATTTCTTGTGCAGCTGCCAATGCAGACCATCAAGAATCTACAAGAAAAGGATCAAGGCTCACTACAACATACTGAGGTCTAATTGTAGCAACATTAGACTACAATGTGCAGTTGATTTTATGACTGTAAAATGTGTAATTTGAATTGTACATGTATGTACAGGTTATTTTATATATTATACTTAAAGAAGCTGAATATAGACTAAAAGATGCTGCCAGTAGCAAAGAGAAGGTATGTCATACTATACCAGATTGTCACTATGCAATGCAATCTTGTATGCAATGTGTAGGATATAATTGAATTGAAACAAGAAATATCAATGGCTTGAGGTCTGAGGTTAGAGCCTTAATTTTTTTTGGATAATTAAGCATGTATTAATTATCAGTTACGTGTACATATTTCACAGAATTATAATTTGTTATAGGAAAAATCATTGTCTGCTTATGTTCAAAGCACTGAATCAATTGATGTATAGATATATCTCACTATACAGTTCAGTTGTCACATCATAATTATTAATAGGAAGAACCATTTGATAAAGAATAGACTGTATTGAGCTCTCAGTTCAATGAGATAAAAGA